GATCTTTTTCTGCTGGTTTATTGTTATTTGTTTCGTATGTTTGTTGGTTTTGTTTTCCTCTCTAAAGACTTTTAAGATCTCTTTTATATCTTGGGTTAAATTTCATAATCATGTGACTTAGTATGAATCGCTGTCCATTTACTGTGTAGGTGGCCTCTTGGTCAACCTTTCATAATTTCCTTCCCTTAATTTCCTCTCTTTTATTTCTGTGGCTCTAGTTGTTTGTACGTTGGGTGTTCCAGAATTTACTATTTTTATCTATTTCCTATTTTCTATTTATGTGCAAGTAGGTGAGCACTCAGTAAGGGTATTTCTCAATTTACTCAATCAAAATAAGCCAGGTTATAAAAGGAGACCTTGTCTAGATCAGGCTCCCAATGAGAACACTGGTTCCATGCACTCACCTGGAATTCATTTTCCAGTTCCCAAATACATAATTGGAATGGATACATATGGTAGATGGCAGAACCCCTGTTGACTCTTTTCTTAAATTTATTTCAACAGATTTAGAGTTATAATTTTTTTTTTGTTACCTGGGTGGATGGTATAGTGGTGAAGACAGGGCTTTTATTGTACCCATTACTCAAAGAATGTACATTGTGCTCAGTAGGTAATTTTTCACCCTTATCTCCTCCCACCCTCTTTCCTTCTAAGTCTCCAGTGTTCACTATACCACTCTGTATTACCATATGTATACCCATAACTTAGCTTCCACTTACACGTGAGAATACACAGTATTTGTTTTTCCATTCCTGAGATAATTCACTTAGGATATTGGTCTCCAGTTCCATCCAAGTTGCTACAGAAGACATTATTGCATTCTTCCTTGTGACTGAATAGTATTCCATGCATACACACACACATACACACACACACGCACACACACATATACACTCCTCATTTCATTACCTATTCATCAGTTGATGTGTATTTAGGTTGATTTCATATGTTTGCAATGGTGAATTGTACTGTGATAAATACACAAGTACAGGTTTCCTTTTTATATAATAACTTCTTTTCCTTTGGGTAGATCCCCAGCAGTGGGACTGCTGGATCTAATGGTAGACCTACTTTTAGTTCTTTGAGGAATCTCCATACTGTTGCCAGAAAAAAACACAATAGAAAAAAAAAAAAGAAAACTACAAAACAATATGCCTGAAGAGCATAGAGGCAAAAATCTTCACGAGAACCTTATCAACACAAATCAAAAAGCACATCACAAGGATAATTCACCATAATCAAGTGGGTTTCAATCCAGCGATGCGGGGATGATTCAACATACACAAATCAATAACTATGTTCATCACGTAAACAGAATTAAAAACAAAAGTATATGATCATCTCAATAGATAAAGAAAAATCATTGGATAAAATCCAGAATCCCTTCATGATAAAAGCCTCCAACAAACTAGACATAGTAAGAATATAGCTCAAAATAATAAAAGCCGTCTATGGGCTCGGCGCCTGCGGCTCAAGCAGCTAAGACTCCAGCTACATATACCTGAGCTGGCAGGTTCGATCCAGCCTGGACCCGCCAAACAACAATGATGGCTGCAACCAAAAAATACCTGGGCATTGTGGTGGGCACCTGAAGTCCCAGCTATTTGGGAGGTGGAGGTAGGAGAATCTCTTGAGCCCAGGAGTTAGAGGTTGCTAGAAGTTGAGATGCCACGGCACTCTACTCAGGGTGATAGCTTGAGGCTCTGTCTCAAAAATAAAGTAAAATAAAAGCCATCTATGGCAAACTCATAGCCAATAATATAATGAATGGAGAAAAACTGAAAACATTCTCCTTAAGCGGTGGAACATGACAAGAAAGCCCATTTCCCCACTTCCATTCAACATAGTACTGTTAGTACTTATTGATCCTTTAGCCTGTGGCCTAAGTGCTGCTATAAAGAGAAAATCTGAGGACCCTCCCCCCAAAGCCATCACAAAACCAAAACCATAAAAGTCACATCTCAGGGTAACGTGATTAGGGATTAGTGCCACCCTTAAGGCTTAAAGATGCGGAGATGGTGATCTCCAGCATGTCCCCATTGGTTTCACCAGTCTGGCTTCTACAAAAACTAATCAGATCTTAGGGTATGGCACTAGACTGTCTCAAATTCAATGCAGTCAAGCTCTGCATTACAACTACTGTGCCAGAAGTGATATTTCTGCTAGAGTTCAATACGTGCTGAAACCTGAAAATAGACTGCACCACCCAGATCAGCTCCTCTGGGACTCAGGCACTCACTCCCAAGCTTCTGGGAACATTGACTGCTGAAGGCTGGTAGTTGAGACCCTCCTAAGGATCTGCCTCCAGCCAAAGACAGCTGCCTCACTCAAGGTCCCCCCAGAGGACTGTGTCCAGTTCTCGTGTTATTGAATATCATTCTTTCTCAGCTGTCTAAGGTATGAATAATAGTTTTACTTTAAAATAGTTTTGGTCTATTTTATCATTCTTGAATCATCTCTGTTTCTTCTGAGTTTCTTTTTTTTTTCTTCTTCTTCTTCTTTACCTTTTATTTTCTTCTTTGTCTTTCCATGAGGGACTTTGAGCAAATATTTGATAATCTTGTGGCAACCTGTCTAAATACAAGCGTGAGACCTTAAAACACGAACTGGAAGTTCCATGGAAGTTTGTAGCTGATGGGTTTACTCTGAAGTTATCTGAGTTGACATTTCACTACAGAAGCTCCAACCCCATTCTTTTAGACTATGTACTTTTTTTTTTCTACAGATGATTAGTTTTCCCAAACAGGAGTTGTCCATTTTTCTACTTATTAGGGGTGTATGTGGGTAGGTTATAAGGTTCGATCATGGGCTAAAGGAGTCTCATTATTCAGTATCTAGACTTTCAACATCTTTGTGATTTCTGGGTAGCTTCCCCTCTCATAAGGGACTCCCTGAGCCTAGACTCCCTATGAGTAAATGTCTTTAGCAAACAAACATCCATGCTTCTCCCTGATTGGGTGAAGTGTGGGTCCCAGGCTGCCTGTGAATAGGGGAAAGAAACATGTTGGAAAGTCTTTTACCCTATCTCTACTAAAACTAGCTGGAAGTTGTAGCAGGTGCCTGTACTCCCAGCTACTTGGGAGGCTGAGGCAAGAGAATCACTTGAGCCTAAAAGTATGTGGTTGCTTTGAGCTGTGATGCCACAGAACTCTACCCAGGGTAACAAAGTGAGACTCTGCCTCAAAATTAATTAATTAATTAATTAAAATAAAAATTTCCCATATTGGGGATGGTAACTATCAAAAAAAAAAAAAAAGAAAGAAAGAAAGTCTTTTAGCCAATGCTCCTACTTCAGCCTTCTTAGTGCCCATCTTCAGAGGCACTTGCTGCCCACAGTTTGGAGCCTTTCTGGAACTGTGCCATGTAATTGCCCTGTATCTGGGTTTTCCTGTCCTTAGTTTATATTGCAGCTCTTTCTCCTCTGCAAAGCCAGTTCCCTGCCACTAGCGCCTCCGTGTTCAAGCTTCTAACTATCGCTCTTGCCCTGTGTATTGACACCTCTATTCTCCTTTTGCTGTCACTCAGGGAGGCTCCAAGAGGGAGCAGAAGCGAGTGCACACATTTGGTCTTCTCTGTTTTACCTCACCGTATCTCGTAGATGAGAAACTGAGGCCCAAGGAAGGATACTGACTTGCCCAGGTCACACAATATAACAAGGTTTAAAGAAAGTCTTCAGGTAGGTCCCCAGGCCAATGTCCTTTGTGAAAGAACCCCAAGGATGTGAAAACAGGAGGAATGAAGAATTCAGCATGGTAGCTGGTGTAGGGCTGTGTATAAGGACAGAGCGCTCGTGGGCGTGGCCTGATGGAAAATGGAAGGAGATGGCCAAACATAAAAGGAGGTATTTTTAATCCTTGGGGGTCTGGCCTTTCATGTTTATTGTCTATATCATCCCTTTTCTACGTTTACCACTATCTTTTTGCAAGCCAGCCTCTTTACTATTACTACTCTGTACTCTACTCTTTCCTAGAAATACATAGTATATTTAAATGTGATTCTACTCAAATTACCCATATCCTCAAGGGCTTGTTGCCTATTGGATAAACTGGGCAGCTGGGAGGGATCAAAGCAGAGAGCTGCTGAGCGTGGTACTAAACATGGCAACGCAGGGAAGGCGGCATGACAGGTGCGCAGGAACGCCTGGCAGACGCCGGCAGGTGGAGGTGGGGGTGAGGGATGCAGCTCACGGGGATCTCAGTGGTGGCCAGTGCGCAGGTGCTTACCACTCCGATGCTGAAAGCAGTGAGAGAATGTGGTAGCTCTAGCGATCCCCAAATCAAAGGGAACGTCTTGGGAATGGGGACATTGCAGTGTGTTTAGGAGGAGAGAAGGCAGAGCAAGAGGGGCCAGGATGAGTCGATATTTCTCGTGTATAAAATGCTCTTTTCTTCCTGTCAGCTTCTTCCTGAAGCATATCGAAACATAACCGCCCGACCCTGCTGTGAGGCTGATAACTATATTACTCTCCTGTTGCTGGTGTAACAAATTACAACAAACTTAGGGCCTTAAAACAAGACAAATTTTCTCTCTAACAATTCTGGGTGTCAGAAGTCCAAGATCACTGAGCCAAAGTCTTGTGCTGGCAAAGCAGGCTCCTTCTGTCGACTCCAGAGGAGATTCTGGGGTCTGCCTACTCTCCTGGGCTGGGGTCTCTCCCACCAACTTCCAAGCACATCACTCCAACCTCCAGTTCCCCGGTCAAATCTCCTTTTCTGACTTTGAGCCTATTACCTCGCTTATAGAGACCCTTGTTATTATCTACCTGGATAATGCACGTCTACTTATCTCAAGCTCCTTAAATTAATCCCATCTGCAAAGGTGCCTTCTGCCATGTAAAGCAACCTACTCACAGCTACTAGGGATCAGGACACGCACATTTTGGGGAGCCTACCACACCTTCTGATGGTGTTCATGATCCTCAGTTCTCATCAAGATACTGGTATGTTCTCTACAGTTATCAATACAAATGAGTGAGTACATGAAGAAATGAAGGCCTTCCAGAGATTTCAGAGATATTTATTATTTGGTCCATTATGTGCTTTGTCATGTTTCAAACAATTTTCAGAGGGTATCTAGGAAACTAGTGCTTATTCTACAAACTTGACCCTGCTTGGTCTCGAAGTAAATTGTCTGTCATATTAAAATGATTACCGTGGACTTAAGACTGGAAAAGAGAAGAAGGAAAGCCTATGTTTATTATTGTTTTCGTTTAAAGTATGTAACTATTAAAGAAAAGATAAGCAGCAAAGTACAGCCCAAGACAATCAATGGTTTCTGGTCACGCCTGGGCACTGACCCCTTATACACAGTCCCCTTAGCCTTCTTTGCTTGAGCTGACTGGTTCATGGATTGGTTGGGGATGTACATGTCACCAATTTGAGGTAAGGAACTCTCAGTGTCCAAGTAGGAGGGTGGGCACACAGATGGCTCTGATATAAAGCCATGCAAGCCTCGTGCACAAATGCCCAGAGCACACGCCTCACAGTTGGCTGCATCATGGGACCCTTCCAAAGACACCTCTGGGATCACCGACATCTTTGCAAACTGCATGGCACCTTCTCCATAGTATCTCTTCAGAATATGCTGCACCAGCTTGTTCAGAATCATCATAGTGCTCTCTGTGGAGAACTCAGGCATCTCATATTGGGACCAGGAACACTTCTGGCACCTCTGGCCGAAGAGTCGCATAACCACCTGGCCCTGGTCCGTCCAGCGTTCCCAGTGCAGGTGGCACAGAATGTGCACTTGGGCGGACGCCCAGTGTCGCCGGCATAAGGAGCACTGGAACCTGCAGTCAGAGGGAAGATGCCCATTGTGTCCCCAGCTGTTGTTAATCTAAGGGGGAACGGTCCTGCCTCCTCTCTAAGATCCCTTTCAATTCAGAAAAGTTTGTGTAATTTTGAATGTCCTGGTCATCGACAAATGGGAATAAGGGAGATGGTGTTTCAAACAAAACTTTCCTGTGATCCTCTGAGCTTCCACCAAAGGTGGTCCCCAACTTGACCTCTTTGCTAGTAAAGCATCTCCAGATGCCTCAGAAGGGAAAATATTTCTGCTGCCTGAAATATATGAATATATAAAATATTTCTGCTGCCTGTGACTATAAGGAGGAAATGTGTTCCTTCTTATAGTCACAGAGGCAGGCACTTGTCTTGGGGCAGGCCCTGCAACTGGGGCTTTACATGTTATGCCAGTTCACCTTTAAAGCGTTCCTATGAGATAGGTATTGCTGAACCCATTATCCAGATAAGGAAACTGCGTCATTCCAGAGGACACAAGGGTGAGTGGCAGAGGCAGGTCTCCAATCTCAGGCTATCTGTAATCAGCCTTATCTGCCTACACACCTCATTTCCTCTAACGGCTAGTCCCGCACCTCAAGAAACAGACTAGGACCTGCAGCCCCAGTACTAGGGTCGAAGATCCAAGTTCATGGTTTACATCAGGGGGATCTTGGTTAAAGCACTTTCCTTCTGTGAAAATAGTATTCAAGGAGTTTTTGTCAGCATCCAATGAGACAAGGCTTGTGGACACACTTCGGAAGACACGAAATGCTTTTCAAAAGCTGACTGATATTTTCCAAACGTATGTTGGTAGGTTGCTTTTCCTATCTCAAAATGACTATTGGATTTATTTATCTGAACAAGAGAAACACCTTCCTGGTTGGGGGAGGGCAAAAATGATTTTAAAAAATCACGAAGCACTCAAACAGCTCTGGTTAATTTGGAGAGAAACACACAGCTCACTGGCTCACAGAGCAGTGATCTGCTCTGGCAAGTGGCTTGAAAACTGTTCCACAGAGCCTTACAAGGGTCCACTGAAGCAATGGATTCTGCAGCTAAAATATATACTATAATTTACATAATATGTAATGCATAAATATACTATATTATTTATAAATGTGTTATTTAAAAATATGTAACATGTATTTATATTTAAATACGCATTATATATATGAATATAATATTATATAATACATATATTTTATATATAATATAAAATGTGTATTATATAAAATATAATTAATGCACATTATATATATATATGTGTATGTATGTAAAGCTCATTCTGTTATCCTATTATCTTGTGAGAACATAGAAGAAAGAACATTTACTCTGCCTGGGAGGAGCAGGGAATGCTTTTAAGAGGAGATGGCACTTGAGTGGTCCTTCTAGGATAAGTGGGGAGAAAATGAGGAGAGGATCTGCCAAACAGGCTGAACACCATGAGCAAGGGCCCGACATCTGGCCAGGCTTGCCCTGGCTGATAGTCCATAAATGATCGGCTATTAGGGAGCAGAGCATGCCTGAGGCGGATAGGGGTAGACAGGCCAGCAGGGTAATAAGTTCACCTTCCTAATGCCGCGTGTATTTTCATTGTTACAAAGAGGTCGCAATCCACAGCTTGAGAACCGCTGGTTAGATGAAAAGCAGACTGAGGGTCCTGAGTGTTGGGAGACTCGAATGGTGGGTCAGCAGCTCCCACCCTCTAACTTGGGCAAGGAAGTTGGCTCCTGCCACCTGGCAGCTTGCTGGGGGTTAAAGAGGGGGAGGACCAACAAAGGAGGGGCCAACTGGGAACTAGTTCCTAATTCAGGAACCAGGTTTTCAATTTAGTTTTTGCAGCATCTTTCTCTCCTAGTGTCCCCAGGCCTTCTGTAAAATCATGTTCAAAGTCACTGCTTGATCTTAGCCAGTTCTTATGGCATTAAAGGAAGGACCCAGTCCCAGGCTTGTACTGGGGGGCCAGGGTGTGGAGAGCTGCTACAGCCTGGAGAAGCCGGTCAGGACTGATAGGAAACTGACTCTGGAGGTAGTTTGGGACAAATGGGGTGGCAAAGGAATAGAAGGGCAGACTTCTAGAACATGGAGGAGGGCTTCATTGTTTTCCAGAAATATTCAGGGAGGGAAATCGAGTAAAAGAAGAGCGTTCCTGTAGGTAAACAAAAGGGAGGCCTGGAGCTGTGCCTTTTCATTAGATCGTAAAGAGCACTGTGAGCACAAGAGGATGGGGAGCGGGCTGACTCTAATTCTTTTTAACAGGCTCTCAGAAGGATGATACATGTAGATATACAGGTACCTACATCACCATATATGATACATAATGCTAAGCTGAGCCTCTGCCCAAGGTTCACATCCGGGAAACCCACACTCACCAGCCAAAGGCTCTTTGCTGGTACTGCTTCCACCCCAGGGCCACACAGTCCAGCTGAAGGTTCCCATCCAGACTCAGGGTCCATTTGGCCCAGGGTTTTACCTCCTGGATCAGATTTTGAAATGTCTGCTCCCATGTCCTGATATCCAAAACCATTCTCTTCCTCTGAGGCTGAGTCAGTGTTCCTCCTATCGAATGCCCAGCAAGATACAAAGGGTTTCAGTTTCAGTTTTCTCTGTTCAGTTCAGTTTCAGTTTCAGTGTTCGGACAGGAGCTGTTTTTCAGCCTTCCTGTTAGACTGTTGGGGCGCACAGAATGAGTCTTTGTTCTGAACACAGAGAGCAGCAAAATTTTGTTAATTAACAGGCCTTGGTAAGAAAAATGTCTGAGTACAGAGTTCTGGTCTAGATTCTGGGGTGACATATAAATTAGCTTTTATGTTCTTTTCCTCTCTTTCTTTCTTTCTTTTTTTTTTTTTTTTTTTTTTTGCAGTTTTGTCCAGGGCCGGGCTTGAACCCACCACCCCCAGTATATGGGGCTGGGACCCTACTCCTTGAGCCACAGGTGCCGCCCCTTTTCCTCTCATTTTTATAATAGGCAAAGCACTAACTATATTTAGCATGGGGATAAAAGAGTATCCTGTGTCTAGGAAGCAGTTCCTACCCCTACAGGTACACAAACCATGATGATGGGGGGAGGTGTTCAACGCACATTTCATGCACCTGCCAGTCCTTGCTGCAGTTCCTTAAGGAGGATTGTTCCTGGTATTTTGCAGGGAACTGCACAGAGATGAGGTGCCTTGCCCAAAGCCACCCAGCTGAGCCTCATGAATTTGGGTCTGTGTGGATTCAAAACCTGCAATGTTTACTCCCCTGACTACTTGAGAAGAAGCTAAGAATGGTATTTCTGGGTCCAGGCTAGCATACTGGAACCATCTTGTAATACTGAACTAGTAGTTTCATCTAACAAGATTTTCTGGGTCCTGGGGCAGGAGACCAGCTTCAGGAGGAGATTATTTAACTCTGCCATTCCCTGTGAAACTCATCTGGAAGGTCAATATACACTCAGGTGTGGGAGCTGTCTTTCAGTGGTAGGACAGAGAGATTTCTGTCTTGGGATGAAGGATTGGGACTCGATGACCTTTAAAGACACTTCTAAGTCAGAGAGTCTGGGATTCTAGAAAGTAAGCTTAGTCTCCCTGGGATTTAAATTCACATAAGGGAGATAGGGCAAGCAGAACACTCAAGTCTTTGGAAGCCCCACAAAAACTTCTGTGTCTACAACGTGACTAGTTAAATCTTTTTGGGCCTAAAGAGGCCCTGTTTGGGCACCTGAAACACTCTGCCTCTTTTCATCCTTTCCAGGATATTCTGTTCTATATAAACTCTCCCTGCTCTCATAGCCTCAAAAATTTAGGGCACCTATGTCTATAGGTGGGAAAAATTTAGGGCACCTATATCTATAGGTGGGACATTCTGGGAACTTGGAATTGGATCCATAGGATATTTAGAGCTGGAAAGGACTTGGGAATCAACATTCTCTCCTTTCCTTCCAATTTTCATACATAAGAAAACTAAGACTCAGAGGAATGAGGTCTCCTGGCCAAGGTCACACAGCAAATTAGTGGGCCCAGCTCTGCGCACTGCTCACCTGTGTGTAGACCCTTTCTCTCATACTTCCTGCTGCATTTAGGATTCCAGGTCAGCTTTTTAATTCTGTATCTTCAGAATAAGCCTTCAGAGAGTCCTCTGACCCTTGACTGCTCAAATGCTCCATTTTTTCCAAAAATGTAGACTTGATGGGTCCATTGTATCCCACAATTCTCTTTGCCTCTCTTTCGTGTGCTGTCTTTGACATACACGACTGCTCCATGTCAGCCTGTCCATGGCAAGAGGGATCAAGGGAGGGAGATGGTACTGTGAGTTGAAAAAGCAAACTCATTATGTTTGCTCTATTCTCTCATGCAACAATAATAAATACAGACAGCTTCTATAACCAAATGAGTAGAGTTTTTTCTGATCAATATGTAAGCAATCAATACTATGTAGACACCAGTTGAGTATCCTCTCAGTCAATTCAGTTCTGACACCATCTACCTCAAAATGGCATCAGTTGCCAAGGGCTGAAGCCTTGGTTCCCCAAACTGTCCATCCCCCCACTAATATCAGTCGCAAGCCCTAGCTTGTTTTACCTGTGCTTCTAACTATCGAGGATTAAACATCATACTTACTACAACAGCCACCAATATCATTACTCATCTGAGGAATTACTGAGAACAAGACATTCTCCTCACCTCTTGCAGCAAGTACTGTCAATCTGTGTCTCATGTGATCACATATGTGGTCACGACATCTAACCAACTGGCTATAAATTGGACTTTCCATGGACCCTTCCTTGGGTTTAATTTATTGGCTAGCCCAGCTTACAAAACTCAGGGAAACAATCCTTACTGAAAGGGGTGGCCTTGCAAAAATTGCAAACGTAACAGGAAAATACCTAACCCTAAAATTTCCTATTAACAGTTAGAGTCCTTACTCTGCAGGAGTTCTGTCTTGCACAACTTCTAAAAAGAGCTGAACAGACAAGAAAGAGATGTAAATATTTCTCTCTCTTTTTTTTTTTTATCAAATGATAGCTGTGTACATTAATGCAATCATGGGGCACAGTGTGGTGTTTTCATATACAATTTGAAATATTTTCATCAAACTGATTAACATAGCCTTCATGTCATTTTTTTTAGTTATTGTGTTAAGATGTTTATATTCTACTTTTTGAAAGATTCACTTGTACCCTTGTAAGATAAACCACAGAGGTATTTCTCATTTGAAAGTATTGTTGAAAATCTGCTTTTATAGAGAGCCTGGGGAGAAGCTTCAGACTCCAGCCATATCCCAAGGACAGTTGTTACATCTCCTACATTAATTCCATCTCCAGAGAAGGGCAGAGGAGCCAGCTCTTGGACTTTGACACAGGCCCAGCTGGTTGTCTACCTGCTGCTAAGAAGAAAGAAAGGTGCCTATGCAGCAGTTCCTCAGCTCGTGCTGGGCCAGTTTACAGCCCCTTTCAAAGCCGTCTGGCCACTTGGCCTCTGATGCTGGCTTATCCCTTCTCTTTCCTTGGGCTGCCACACCATCGTCCACCTGCTTTCTTTTCTCCCTCTCTTTCCCCCTTTCACTCTCTCACTCCCTCTCTCTTTCTAAGAAGATATAATAAATTTTATACTTTTCTATATCTAGTCTTTCTCTCAAACCTGCATGCACTGGCTCTGCACTCCTCACACCCTAACACTTACGTTTACCTCTTTGTGATGAAGATTATAACAAAAGACAGAGATGAAGAGGTGCATAGGGCAGGGCATGGCAGAGGTGCATGGAGCTTCTAATGCTCTCCCTGGTGCGCCACCTTCCAGAAACTTCCACATGTTCTGGAAGCTCTCATACCCTGTCTTTTTGGATTTTTATGGAGGTTTCATTACGTTGGCATGATTGATGAAACCATTGCCCATTAGCGATCACCTTAACCTTCAGTCTCTCTCCCTTGCCTGACCTTATGGGGTGAGGCTGGAGGCCCCAACCCTGTAATCATGGCTTGATCTTCCCAGTGATCCTCCCATCCTGAAGCTACCCAGGGCTGCCAGCCTTCAATCAGTCACTCACTGATAAAAAGATCACTGCAGAGAGTCTAAGGATTGTTGAAGTTATAATCCAGGGAACAGGGTCAAAGACCAAATACGTGTTTTACAGTATCCCAGGTATGCTTGGAGATTTGCAGGTCTGGAAGAAGCACATTATCTTCCCCACCACTAAGAAGGGACAGAAAAAGAAAGGTGAAGAAAGAAGGACATCTTGGCCCCTTTAGTAATTCCATAAGACATTTAAACTACTCTCGTTTTTTGCATGGAGGCATTGTAACTTCCTGATAATGGAATTGCAGAACTTGGTAGTTGGAGGAGACCTAGACATCGTGAGATCGTCATACTATGTCCCTGAGACCCAGTGAGAGAAAATGATTTATCCAAGTTACACACTGTGATAATATTGACCTTCCGGCTTTCATCAACTGTTGGGGCCTCATTATACATTGGTTAAAAAATCTCTGAGACACAGCTGGAAAATAAAAAGAATCCCCAAAGGGAAAAAAAGCACAGATCAATTCTGAAAAAGAAGGACATAGAAAAATGTGGATTCTGACAGTTCAGAGTTGGAATGTATCATCTAATCCTGGAATCACAAGTAACACCCTTCCCTGCTCTTGCCCAAGACAGACATTGCCAAAGACCCTTACAGCTCTCTCTTGGGTTTGGGTGTACCATTTTTTATGAAAACTTGCTTGGCCTCAGGCCCCTTGAGGCCTCTTGAGGATGTTGGGGTTTGCCTTGACAGACAACCATTTGAATATTTTTGGTAGAAAAACTTCCATGAACTCGAAGATGAATCCCAGAACCAGAGATGAGGGCTGACCAGCACAGGGCTGCTCAGCTGGTTGAGGCCACAGATGCCCATTCTTTTTTTTTTTTTTTTTTTTTT